ATTGGGGTTTGTGAATCTGTGCGTGAGTCAATCTGCTCAACTTTATTGATCAACCGGAAAAGATGTTGAACTAGGCTAACTAGCTATACATTTGACATTTCGCAGATCATCATGAATACTTTTGAAGACATTGCACATTTGTATTCTCTCTTTCAAGGCGTCACTGGCGCATCAGGGCAGGTAAGCGATTTCGTGGCATTTTACTCCGTCTGTTGCTGTTGATATTGTTTAGGACTAGATTAACGTCGCTATTTAGATTGCCTTTTGGTCAACGAAATGAAAATCTCTTATGAATTTGTTTATTTGAAACGCATGCTTAGGCAAAGTCGAAAAGATTTTTATCGAAAAGATTCGATCATTACATCACAAAGGTTTCCATGAATGAAAAAGTTGGCAAAATCACTGTTCCCTAAACTGCCCTTAAGGCACTAGGGAAAAGAAGCAAGTTTGTCCATCCAAGTACGTCTATTTAAATCGCTTCAGGTTGATATGGTGTGGCAGGTTTGTTTCCCTTTCTGTCTGACGTCACCCCTCTTTCACTTGCTTCGTATTTTCGAAATAGCTAGAAAGTGTCTTATTCAAGGAAATAAAAGTTCGTGTTTATCATGCCAGGTGTGCGAAAGAAACGAATTAAAACGTGATCGAGATCATGTCCAACTTGGAAGGAGATAGATGAAAAAAATCTTTTTCTACAAATCTTTAGTTTTTCTTTAAAGGTATTTCTTATGCCTTTATGAGAGAGAAACATGCGAAAACTGACCATTACATGCGTCAGTAAAGCCCATGTTTTTCCCCTGAGTTTTAGATAGGTCCTGAAAAATATAAAAAATTGACGGCAAATTTCCTTATGAAATGAAGATGATTTTGGCGGGGCAAATAATACTAAACCCTACCTTAGACTCGCTTAGACGATTGCTAAAGATTGTAAACTGCAATTTATAATCTCTTGATGATTTGAAGTCAGTTGGTATGGAGCGGAAGAAACTTTTGTTTTCGTTTCATTATTATAATCAATTGTCCATCTGTTTAGCTCGATTTCAAGGGTCGTGTGATGAGCTACAAAGCCGAAGGTCGAATTCATAAACTTCAGTGGGTGTATGATGGAACCGCCTGGGATGTGGAGAGTGGAACATGTGCGGAAGCCAGGCACTACAAAAGTACTCAAGGTGCTATTCAACATGCCTTAAAGAAACTAATTGACGACCTCAAAGCTAAAGGAATACTGAAATGAAACGCGTTTTTTTTCAGACTTTGCGTGACAAAGATGTCACACAATTTTATGTCATCTCAGAGTATAGTGAGAAAGAGCATTGGTTAATTTTTTTCTATTTCCAGTACAAATATTGTCGAATGGATTTAAAAGATAATGTTGTGGCAAACATCATGTCAGTTATAAGAACATTTACGCTAGTTTGTAAAAGAAAAAAGTTGTCAGAGACGTTTTTTTTGGAATGCGAGCATGTTGGAAGAACTTCAAAAAGAAATAAACGACTTTGCTTATTGAAGCGTTCGTCGCCTCATATAGCCAACCTGTTAATATACTTCACCATCACTCAAAAATTTTTAAGCGCTGGAATCTGAAGGCCAGTTTACTAACATGCAATACGATCTTCCATTTCTTTGTACCAACCGTGATTCTGGTCTTTTATCTAAATGTTATCACCTTGTTAAATGACAGTTTTTTTGTATTAAGCGATCACCTGTAGGGAATGGCAGAGTGACCTTTTTATACAGATTCCACATAAAAGGGGTAAAATATAACAATGAAAAACGCCAAATGATGCCATTACTGACAAGTTAATATAGAAACGCTCGCCCAAAAATACTACTAACATTGATTTCGAGAGAGAAACATGAATTAAATTTCACCTGAAAGATTATTCTTTGTTCTATTTGAGTGGCATCGCTTAAATGCTTTAAGTGACCGCGCGCGTTCAATTAGGTGGGAAACAGGATTTTGGGACTCACTCAAAGGTGACCAGGACAGCTTCGTAGAAGTATGAATTATAGTGATTATTGGGAAACAAATTCAGGACTTGACAAGCGAATGCTTAGTACAGAGTGACCTTTAAAAACAGGTTCGACTGTATCACTCTAAGGACAGGAAAATAGCATTTTGCGTCAACTGTGTTTCTCTATATAACAGATGTCTACACAATATGTTAATTTTACTTTACAAAAGTTTATTTCTAACTAAGTATCCTATCCATGTGAGGAATATGTTTACTTTTCGTAATACTACTTGCGGTAACTACATTCTGAAACTCCCTGTTGCTAAGACTACTTCTTATGGCCTTCCGGCTCTTTTTCTTATCATGCCGTTAAACTATGGAATTCACTTCCGGACAGTTCGAACTTTGAACCTTAATGACTTTAAAAAAGCATTAGCTAGCCTTAAATTAATGTAATTTTAGAACATATTGTAATTGAACTCATATTGTAATTTTAAATATTCTGTAAATCTATTTATTTCATTTTCGCCGTTAATTATAAACATTGCACAGGATTGTATTTTATAATGTCATTGTACATTATATTATGTCGATTTCTTTTGTTATTTGTTATTTTTCTCTCGGAAAAATTAGTTTTTACAAGCTACTCTTAAATTCGAGAAAAAATAAAGTTTATGTATGTATGTATGCATGTATGCGAGGTGTGATCCTCCCTTCTAAACTTTTATCTCCAGATTACGTGTGATTTTCTCCATCCTATTAAGGTTTACTACAGGCATGCTCATTAGTTCATGTTAATCTATCATTCGGCTTCTTGAGGAGGTTTAAAATGGTTTCGTTGATAGATCTATGCACCCCCAAATTTTTGTCTGTCCACGTTTTACACTCCAATATGGGTCCAATATCAATATGCATATTCTCCAATCTGTTTTCTATGCATTACTGACAAGGAGAACTTGTTAATCATTTAAGAGCTTCTTTAGTTGGTGATTATTTCCTTTCTGCTTGTGACATTCATGTTCGATTAAGCAGTGACGGGGGGGGGGGGAATTGAACAGTTTTCACTCCCAGGGGCCAAAGTATAAAAAATATGATCACAACTTATAAATATTAATATTAATATTGATATTAATAGTCCATTTTACAGTTGTGTCCTTGATCTCCAAGCATTTGAACAGGAGGGAGGCTAAAGGTGATCTTTTTGCGTTACAAACGTTGCTGCTTTTCAAATGCAATTTATTTTGTTGTCATGCAAACTAGATACTGGTCCCAATCACAACAAGGTCACCTTCAGCCTCACTCCAAATCAAAGGCTTGGTAACTAATTATAAGTACACAACTCTGAAATGGCTTATTACAAGGAAACTGGTGTAAAAAGCATGGAAACTACGAATTGTGGCTACAAAATGAGGAAACATGGTTAACCTAGAGAAAATCCTTATTAATTCTGTAATACCCGAGAATTCATTTTCAATTTTTGAATGATTAATGGATTAAAAAAAAAAAAGCCAAGTTTGACATTTATTCTTTGAAATACCTCCCACTGGTAATCATTCTGTGAACCATAGTTACCAACTATGTGTGAACGATGCATGGGTAATGGTTTTTTCCCTGGGGCGAGCTGAGTCACCGGAGGAGAACTGGGATCCAGAGACTAGAATCGTATATTTCGGAGAATCGAACAGAATTATTTCCATTGCGAGAGTTAACTCGACAGAAGAAGCTATTTAATAGGTTAGGGTAAAATTGAGGTTTGTGAATCTGTGCTTGAGTCAATCTGCCCAAAGTTAGTGACCAACCAGAATAGATGTTGAACTAAGCTAACTAGCTATACATTTGACATTTCGCAGATCATCATGGATATTATTGAAGACATTGCACATTTGTGTTCTTTCCTTCAAGGCGTCACCGGCGCATCAGGGCAGGTAAGCGACTTCGTGGCATTTTACTCCGTCTGTTGCTGTTGATATTGTTTAGGACTAGATTAACGTCACTATTTAGATTTGGTTTTAGTCAACGAAATGAAATTCTTCCATGAATTTGTTTATTTGAACGCATGCTTAAGCAAAGTCGAAAAGATTCTTATCAAAACAATTCGATCTTTACATCGCGAGGTTTTCCAGAATGGAAAATTTAGCAAAATCACTGTTCATAAAACTACTCTTAAGGCAATAGGGAAAAGCAGCAAGTTTGTCCATTAAAGTACGTCTATTTAAATCGCTTCCCCTTGTTAAAGCTGTAGCATGTTTGCTTCACTTTCTATCTGACGTCATGACTGGGAAAAACCCCTCTTTCACTTGCTTCGTATTTTTGAATTAGCTAGAAAGTGTCTTTACGATGAAATAAAAGTTCATGTTTATCATGCCAGGTATGTGAAAGGAACGAATTAAAATGTGATCGAGATCATGTCCAGTTTAGAAGGAGATAGATAAAAAAATCTTTTTTTATAAATCTTCAGTTGTTCTTTGAAGGTATTTCTTATGCCTTTATGAGAGAGAACCATGCGAAAACTGACAATTAAAACATGTTACAGTTAAGCCCATGTTTCCCCCTGAGTTATAGGTAGGTCCTGAAAAAATATAAAAATGTTTTGATGGCAAATTTGCTTATGAAATGAGGATGATTTTCACGTGACAAATAACACAAAACCATACCTTAGACTCACTTAGATGATTTCCAAAGATTGTAAACTGCAATTTATAATCTCTTGAGGATTTGAAGTCAGTTGGTATAGAGCGGAAGAAACTTTTGTTTTCGTTTCATTATTATAATCAATTGTCCATCTGTTTAGCTCAATTTCAAGGATCGTGTCATCAGCTACAATGCCGAATGTCGAATGGATAAACTTAAGTGGGTGTATCCTGGGACCGCCTGTGATGTGGAGAGTGGAACAAGTGTGAAAACCAGGCACTACAAAAGTACTCGAGGTGCTATTGAAATTGCCGTCAAGGAGCTGATTGGCGACCTCAAAGCTAAAGGAATACTAAGATGAAACGCGTTTTTTTTCAGACTTTGCGTGACAAAGATGTCACACAACTTTGTGACATCTCAGAGTATAGTGAGAAAGAGCATTGGTTCATTTTTTTTTTCTATTTCCAGTACAAGTATTGTCTAATGGATGTAAAAAATAATGTTGTGGCAAACATCATGTCAATTATAAGAACATTTACGCTAGTTTGTAAAAGAAAAGGAAGTTATCAGAGACATTTTTGATGGACTGCGAACATGTTTGAAGAACTCCAAATGAAAAAAACGATTTAGTTATTGAAGCAAGGCTGATAGTTTCTAAAGAAACTATCATAACTGATAGTTTCTAAAGAAGCTATCAGTTATTGAGCTAGTTATTGAAGCGTTCGTCATTTCCTACATTCCGGCAACCTGTTACATACCTCACCATCACTTAAAATTTGTAACCGCTCGAATCTGAAGGCCAGTTTACTAACATGCAATACGATCTTCCAGTTCGTTGTACCAACCGTGAATTTGGTGTTTTATCTAAATGTTATCACTTTGTTAAATAACAATTTTCCTGTCACCTGTAGGGAATGGCAGAGTGACCTTTCTATACAGATTCCACATCAAAGGGATAAAATATTACAATGAAAAACATCAATTCATGCCATTATTGACCACTTGATATACAAACACTCGCCCAAAAATACTACTAACATTGATTTCGGGAGAGAAACATGGATTAAATTTTACCTGAAAGATTAATCTTTCTTCTATTTGAGTGGCATCGCTTAAATGCTTCAAGTGACCTGGCGCGTTCAATTACAGGTGGACGGAAGATACAAACAGGATGTTGGGACTCACTTAAAGGTGACCAGGGGCCCGTTTCTCGAAAGTCCCGGTAACTTAACGGGCCCGTAAAGCTGTACTGTTTTCATTCAAGATGTGGATTAAAAAAGTTTTGAAAATGATACAACAAAACTATTAGCTAAAGAAACAAATAGGACTGGTTTGGCTACCCGAACCTGCTTTCTTATCCTTTAAATTTTGATTTTAAAACATGGCTTCGGGTCCGTTAAGTCACCGGGACTTTCGAGAAACGGGCCCCTGGACAGCTTCGTAGAAGTATAAATCATTGTGATTATTGGGAAACAAATTCGGGACTTTGACAAGCGACTGCTTAGTACAGAGTGACCTTTACTAGGTTCGACTGTATTACTCTAATGACAGGAAAATAGTATTTTGCGAGGTGTGATCCTCCCTTGAAAACAGTCCCCGGGTCATTCTACGCCCCCGACCCACCCCCCTTCGTGGCTTTTTTTCTAAACTTTTATCTCCTGATTACGTGTGATTTTCTTCATGAATGGGTACGAAGAATGGGTAAAATGGCTTATTACAGGGAAACTGATGTAAAAGCATGCAAAATATGATTTGAGGTTACAAAATAAGAAAACATTTGTTAAACCACCTTAAGGCAATGAGATACTTTTACGAGTGGCTCAAAGGAAATAACTATCAAAGCGAGTGCTTTGAGTTAATCCCTTTAAAACTATATGTCATTTTAAAGCTTATAAACTACGGAACTCATTACTTTACTTGTTTTTTGTTTTCATTTTTTTTAAATGCAGAGATGATAATTAAGGAGAAAGACAAATTACCCATGTGCCTTCGATTGATTTTGCACGCAGGCGTGTTATTGTTTCGACAAACAGTCTTTGGGAAGTTAAAAAGCACATATTGCGCTAAATCACCATTTGGCCGATTGTTGATTGACATCTTCTCTCAAATACTATAAACTTTTCAAGTTCGAGAATGCAATTTTCATTGCTGGCCTTTGCACTCTTTATCATATCTCAAAAAATAGTTCGAAACTCAGAATTAGGTCACACTGCTTTTTTTTCTTAAACTGTTGATCTCTGCGAATTTTCTAGAGAAAATCCTTATTAATTCTGCAATACCCGGGAATTCACTTTCAATTTTTGAATGGTTAATGGATTAAAAAAGAAAAAGAAACAATTTTGACATATTTTCGGGCAATTTGAAGACAAAATAAAGCAATTGAGTGAAGCACTGTTTTTAATGTTACGTGTTGGAAAAATTATAAAGTTCATTGGAGTATATAATCTGAGCAGGGAATATTGCATGTTTCCTTTGATTTAAATATCAATACGTAATTATTCAAACGGATAAAACTTCCTGATATAAACTTCCTCCTCGACATCTGTCAAAACAAGGTCAAGGCCTTCAATTAATCTTCCTTTTGTGTTGCTCTTGAATCTTCATGTATCCAACCAGAACTCACCGTTTAGTGTTCTCGGGTACCCACTTGCTGAATGTATTAACATTGCGGAAGTGGCCTTTGAGGGTGTTGCGATTGAAGATAATCTACAGAGTTGTTTTAAGTGGATTCATATATATTCAGAAACTCGGACATTGTGCGGTTCAAAGATCGCACTACTGGCGGATAGTACATTGCTGGACTGCAGGTAAGTTTCTGATGCCGCACTCACGCCAGCAAAGCATGTTAAGTGAATGCAATTTAACTGTAGAAACCGAAAAAAATTAATTTTATAAGGGGTGTAAGGAATCATTAACT